GTGCCAGCGGGGTGGAGGAGGGGGTTGTGACCTGCGTACCAGCAGGTATTTCCTCCGCTTCCTCTACTGATGGCTTTGATTTTAATTATGAGGACACGTTGATCTGTCTTCAGGGTGACTTTTGATTGGTTGTTGAGTGTTAACACTGTGGCGGCCACCATATCTCATGACAGGTGCTCTTTAAGGCATCACTGATTTATGTTGGGTTTATGTTTGCAGTATTGGACATTATTTGACCTCTCACCTTTGTAAGTAACATGTACCACCAGTGAGCCCTGGGTGACTTATGGGTTGGCGCTGACCTGTGGCATGGTGACAGGCAAGGTCAGGAATGCTGCAAATCTGTCTTGTTATGGTGACAGGAAGTGAGGGGAAATAACAATAGTGTCCAAAAGGGGTTCTAACCCTTCCATACTCAATGGCTGAACTATGACTAGAGGAGTGATTTGAGAAGGAGTGTTGGCTGCTGGTAACAATCTGGGCCTGGAGCGATGGCCTGAGATTGGGATCCCCCCCTATCCTTGTACTTAACCCTCAGAAATTGCTGGAATGGTCCCCTGTGGCCCCGTGGTGTCATGGCGGGGCGGACAGGACCTGTAGTGTCGGGGGGGGGTCCTTGTCCTGACCCCCCTGGAGCTGCTTCCAGTCTGTGACTGGTGGAGGGGTACCAGGTGGGAGATGTAATACTGTTATATGTTTTTGGTGGGATTTGAGCTAGTGCTGTATAAGCTGGCGACGGCCTTCATCCAAACCTTGCAGCATGCTGAGCGTGGATGGAAGAATGGCCACCTACCGGGCTATTGTACTCTGACAGCCGGCGCCCGCAGCTGCTGAAACCTAAACGTATGCTTGGCTTCACTCACTGGTCAGCTGATGTTTTGTCTTTGATTTGGCAATTGCCGGGTGGTGCTGACATGCCGAAATGTATAGCCAACATTAGAAGCTCTGTCACATTTTCAGCTATTTGCCTTCCTTTGGGAGTTTTCTTCTCACTTCCTGTCTGCTGGATTGGTGTGAAAACAGGAAGTCACGAGGACACTCCCCCTTTGACAGGGACCTCCCATTTCCTTTTACAACAGGGACACAGGCAGCAATACAGTTTCTGCTGTACAGAGAAAAGTTTGGTTCCTTTTTAGTCTAAATGTTGTTGCAATCTGTGTACATGAGAGATTTCCTCTTACTTCCTGTCCTGGTGACTCGTGTCAGAACAGGAAGAGAAGAGAAATCTCCCCTACTGGGGCCCAAGCAGCATGTAAATGATGATACATTCCCAACCCGTCCTCAATTAGAATAATCCTGAAATTCTATTTTTGGAGTTATTGGATTTCTGGTTCTCTTGCTGTGTCGGGGTTGGCAACTTCTCGGGGGGCCGGATAGAGAATGCTCCCTAAAAATGACGGCTTGTGTCTACGTTTTGAGGTTTCCTGTAGTTGTCAGTGGTGATGCTTTTTCAATTGGAGAGACTTGCTCCTAAATTCCGCCCCTGACCTAAGCGCCCTTAGGAGGCTGGAAATACAGGGAGCAGCTGTGCACGGCAGCCAATCAGCTTCTCTCTTTTTAGTTTGTTCAGATAAGATTTGAAAATGAAAGAAGGAAGCTGATTGGTTGCCATGCACAGCTGCTCCTGTGTTAAGTTCCCCTCCAGGATTTTGTAAAGGCCGTCTGAACGGTGTTTAGATTTGGGGGAATACATTCCAGGTGAGTGTACAATGAGGTGCGCAGGGTCTTCCAGTTTGCTTTCCTTAGCCTGGGTTCACACCTGGGCGTTCGTAATATGCGCGTTGGCCACGATTTGCAGTCCACGAAACGCGCGTTTACGAGAGCTATCCGGCTGTATCCTAATGGATATGCGCCGAAATACGCCCCAAAGGAAGCTCCTGTACTAGTTTGGGGCGTTGGGCGTTTTTTCAGCGCATTTCGACACGCGGAAATACGCCCAGGTGGGAACCATGCCCATACGAAATGAAGGGATTTCACTTGCTGAGCGTTTTTCGGCGCTGAAAAACGCCCCAGGTGTGAACCCGGCCTTAGTCTGAGTAGAAGTCAGTCCCCTCCCAGCGTGCTGCTGAGGAGGACACTTGTGCTATCTGTGTAGAAGCAGCGGTCTCTCTGCACAGGTCTGCCACTTCTCAAAGAGCAAATGCTTGCTTCTGATTGGAGATCTCTAGTTTCAAGGGTCCGCTGCTTCCATACGGGGTATCGATGGACCTTCTCTGCATCATGCTGGCAGGCCACCGGCTTGTCTACAATAAAGAATCTGACTGTAAGGGTTAGTTCTCACCACATGCAGTCTGTTCAGTTAGGCAGCTGCATCAAAATTGCGTCGCAATGCTTTCCTATGGGATTTCTGGTGCTCAGTTCACACCAGTGCAGTCTGTTCCAATGCAGTCAAGGATAAAATACAAATTGTCTCGTTGTAGCTGCAACTGTTCGCAGCGGAACGCATCAAAAACACATGCAAATGCACTGGCCATTCTAAGCTAAAATAAAAGCATCCAATATCGCAACAAAACGCATTGCACTGCAGACGCACGCATTTATAGTGTAAACTAACCCTATGGCTTTCAACACCTATATGTTTTCGTAAACCAGAACTGAACGGAGCAGATTTACACTGAACGTATAATAACAGTAACCTCATTGTCTCCTCTTAGTCCCTTCCGGGACCCCACAGTGTAATATATACAACTTGATGTCCTGTGGAGACGCGATGAGATGATATGTCAGAGCTCTGACTTGTGTGGAAGTGATCCGGGTGTTCTCAGGAAAGGTAGTAAGAATTGTGCGGGCGTCTGTGGAGGGCTTTGTAGTAACGTGATTGCAGACAGAATTGCGCGGTGCTAATAGGGGATCTGTTTTTTTCAGGCGTCGCAATACTAGACGTGATCAGCAGGTGGCGCTACAGATTACAGGGGGGCGCGGTCTCTTGCTGTACAACGAGTTCCTGTTTCTGCTGTATAGGAGGCTGGAGAAAGATTTGTCGGGTGAATGTTCCAGCATTTGTAGCTATTAGGGATGCGCCCATACCGGTATTTTGGTACCGAGTACCGATAATTTTTTTTCGGGACTCGCCGATACCGAGTACCGGAAGTCCCATTCAGGAAACAGGGTGCCGTGTAATGACTCGCCAACAAGAAAGTCCACTCTTAGTATGTGCAGCCTGTCACCCCTGGGGCCTCTCCAGCGAGAACGCGGCCTTCCTCCGGTACCCAGCCGGAGCCGACTGGCCGGGCCAATCAGGAAGCCGGGCAGCGTGTAATGACGCGACGCCCTGCTTGCTGATTGGCCGGGAAGTCGGCTCCATGCACTCTCATCACAAGTGACGAGAGAGCATGGAGCCGCTTCACGGCCAATTGGGAAGCCGGGCAGCGTGTAACGACGCGACGCCCTGCTTCCTGATTGGCCGGTAAGTCGGCTCCATGCACTCTCATCACAAGTGACGAGAGAGC